CATGAGCTCCAAAAATGTTCCCTCCACACAGCGTCGGCTGCTGTCAGCCAGCGCCACAAAGTCCCATCCCTCCTCCAAAACAATGTCGCCATGCGTTCGGCTTCAGTGATAGTTGATGCTATACACTGCCACACATATATTGGAGATTGTTGGGCAAGACACACCGACGTTTGCTCACTGAAATTTCTTTGTTGTAAGTTGGCAATAATGGGGTACCTAAGTTATTCCCGGGGCATCAACTAATTGTATTAATGATCATGTAATCATTTTATATCACTAGAGGTGGCGAGGTCCTTTTCTCTTTGGAACGTGAGGTCCGGTGCCGACCTTCACCGGCACGTTGTCTGGCAGGGTTTTCCCCTCCAAGTATCACCTACAGTGGGTCTCCACTCGATTTTCGGATGTAAGTCTTACTCAGTATGACGAGGACGGAGTCGTTGAACTTTCGCGTCGCCTTCTGAATGTGCGGGGTCCTGGGTTCAGGGCTGTGTCGAGCGGAACTGCCCGCGGCCGTGACGACCTAGTTCCGGAACTAACCGCCGGAATCGCTGGATCCGAACGATTCTCGCAGCGTGAAGCCTGAAATTCTTGATTGTTTGACCGAAGTCAGACCAAGCAAGGAAATCAAGAAATGATGTGTGTCCGTGCAGTTACGAATGAACTGGCACACATTCCTGTTTGAAGAATGGTGAAATGTGAATTCTGTGATTGGCACTGAAAATAAGGGACATATAAGGCTTTAAATGAAATTTTAGTATTTGTTCTAGTATTGCGGTGGTAGGTATCCATTATACTTTCGCAATAATAGTTTTTAAGGAAAAAAAGTATAATAAAAACGCCATATTTTCATTAGTATCCCCATATTAACATTAATATGGTTAGTGTAGTTACCAAAGAATGTTGTAGAATGGTTGAAACATTTAAAACATTTTGGATCTGAACTGAATTGTTGAGGCGTTAACGTAATCTGAAACTATTTATTTGGACACTATTCTCGCCTGGTTATTATTTGTCCAAAAATACACTCTACAACTATTCTGAGTTTAGGCCCCATCCATTCCAATGGGCTGTATCACTGTGCTGAAAATGTAACATTGTGCATTACTAATAATAATGAGGACGAAAGTAGCATACACAATTTCTATATCACGGCGTAACTAAGAAAAATAATGGATGGCTCATTTGGAACCATCTTGTCTTACAATACTCCATTTAAGACCATTCTTTCATTCCCAAATCTCCTTTTTCAGTTTTTGGTAGTAAATATCAGACCCTAATTTCCTGCTGATAGTGCTGTGAATCAATGTTTGTTCGACAGGAAAGTATATTTTCACCGAAAAATGTTAAAGATGCATCTCACCTTTTGAACGCCGCCTTGCGTTTTGCAAATGATTTTTGTTACATACTCGTATAAACGTGCAAAATTATCTTTTATTGAACAAGGATTTCCAAATATCCGTGGTTCCAGCTGGGGAAATGATCTTATATAGGACGCATTCTAAATATTTTCAACATCTCACGCTTGTCGCATGGACGCATTTCGTGCATAAAACACGTGTCGATAGTACAGAGGCCAAAGGACACCGGTCATCTTTTGAAATCTCGGGGTAAAATATCACTTTTCTGTTTTGCCTACTACTCGACATAGTTTTTCTTTGCTCATCTCTGATCATAGAGGGATATAATTCGGTGAGTCGGATAACAGACAGAACTGTTCTCTAAGAGACCCAGCTAGCAGCAAGCTGTCTACAGCTCACCATTTTCTCACGTCCAGCCTTCTCCGGTCTGCTACATTTGCACTCTGGCTGTGTTCTATGCCAAGTTTCACCCACGGTACGGACGATACATTGGCTGGGATTTGCTCGAGGTAATTGTGTTTTCACGAGCTACAAGTACCCTGATATGCAAATCGTGGAAGTTGTCTTGCTTGCGAGATGGTGGAAGTAAAACAAACTAGCTTGTATTTCGTAGCGAAGGGAGGTTGGGTTTGAGACGTGTAACAACCTGAGGCCACTTTTCTTCTTCACTCACTAGCACACATTTACATAGGGCAATCATTGCACCTGTAAGACATTGCTAACTACAGTGAAATATCTTCACTCACATAGATAATACTACCGAATACGAAATAGTATGAATTGGGTAGAAAGATGTTTCCTGACTTTAACACACTCAATTTGTATTTAATATTTCTCGATGTCTTGTCTATATTCATATTGCTCCTGTCATTATTTTGTGTGGGTTTCTCCTGCATCACTAATTCCTCCAATTAATGCAGCACTACAAGAGACCTTAAGTAATAGTCAGTTTCTACAAATCCCACCTCATTCAGATGAATGAATTGAAAGGTCAATTTGCTTAATAAATCAATCTGTTGAAGTGGCTCACATCTTATGTGAAAATTAATTAATATAGCTTGTTATTACTAAATACTTCGTGTGAATATAAAAAAAAATATGATGGACTTACCTGATCCATTATCCGAGGAGGTTTTAAAGAATGAAAATATTCAAAAATTGAAGAGAGTTTCTGCAAACGCATGTCTTCTTTCCGCCAATAGTCCTGTGAAATTCATATTGAAAGTTTCCTTTGGTGAAATTCATTGTAGAAACTATGAAAAACACCTACCACAATATTTAGTGTAGAAACAATAATGAAAATGGAGGAATATATCATCAATAATATGAAAAAGCTTTTGATTTTGTGAAAAAAGATTGTGTAATATGTACGTGTAATACAAATTTCAGCGCGATACACAAAAATCATGTCGCAAGTGCCAATGAAGTTCAAGCCACATTTACAAATTTATTTGGAACACTAGAATCACTTTATGCATTTTAGAGCATACTATTATACCAAATGCTTTCACATATCAGTATTTGGTCACAGAAACTCTTAGGGAATACACACAATTGATGCTAGATGATCTGTCTTGGTTTTTGTCGCATCCAAGTCATTTTTTAGAAACTTTTAACTAGCTCTTCTCAAATGTAGGTTTACTGGAAAGTATAATGTTATGTATTTCTAGTGTATTGTCATAATATTAGCTCAAAAGAGGAATATTTTCTCATAAGGCAAAAAAGAAATTGGGATAAAATGACAACTTTCTCTTATATATCTTATGGGTTATTTATAAAGAGAGTATAGTTACAATGTTAACATAACAACGCACAGTCAAAGGAATACAAATTCAATTGCAATTGCTTACGAACCACGGCCCGCTGGCCACGGGCAGGGTGAACGGGTCAGGCGGAGTTGGCTACCAGGAACGGGTCCTCTCGCCTTCTCCTGTCAAGACCCCAAACCCCGCCCTAACTACGCTATACAAGTATTATTGCTAAGTAATATGGTAACACAAAAATATTCCATGGTAAAAATATTCCAATACAATTGCATCACCAATATGATCCTTATATTATAAATTATTACTTGTCTGGTACAAACATGAGGCCTTCTTGCTTGCGGCCAATCTTTTTGGGAGTGGGCGCCGTCTTGGTCAGTCTTGCACACCGCCGTCAGGGGCGCGCGGCGCGGGGCCCCGCCACCAGGGGGTGTGGGGGAGAGACTCGCAGAGGGGCAGCGGGGTGCGGTGCCTCTCTCGCCAGCCCATTTAGAATATACGGCGCTCGGTCGCGTCACGGGAAGGGGCGTGGCGGGGAAGGGGCGTGGCGGGGACGGGGTTGGGCGGGGATGGGCGCTTAGTGGCCCGCCCCCGCCCGCGCGCCCCGCATCGCCCACAGCTGCCGCCACCGCCTCACCTTTCCTGCCCGCCCGCCCGCCCACCCGCTCGCTCGCCCGCCAGCCGTCGTCGCCCCACAGCTCGCGTGTCGCGTAGTCGCTCCTGTCCCCGGGACTTTCTTTCTCCGACTCGAGCAGCAGCTCTCAAGCTGGGGAACACTTCGTGGGAGTCAGGAGTCACTGAAGGAAATGGACTTCCTATTTTCCACAACCATTATTCGTATCAGCATATAATTATTAATAATTATTACACTTCAATCGCGGGGACACGAAATCTCGAGTATATTGCTATACATTAATGAATTATGTGTAAAAACTATTTCACTCAGCAATATAGTATTTGCTCGATTTGGACCCACATTCTGGAAAGCCGACCTGCTCGAGTCCCATCGAATAAAAAAGCTGTCTGCCCGTAGAAAAACGGTCTTCAGCTCTTTTGTTAACCCTCTTGCAAACTATGCATTATGTGGATACTTCAGAACTTTATATTACAGGTTGCTTCTGAAGAAAGTTAGCGAAGCGAAAATCTGATGGGAAGGCTTTCTTCTGATCATTTTTTAGAGAAACTCTGATCTTTTTTATTCAGCGAAGGGATTATACGGATAATCTATGCATGTTGCTTGGTGTTTAGACAAACCATACGATCTGTTCTCGAGAGTTTATGTGCGAAACAATATTCACGAAATACCTCAGTACCCAAAATTGGTAAGATTAGTGAGAGTATGCCTGGCACAGGATTGCGTACAATATTGCCGAGTATTACAGGCTGACTGGCGGCGACACTCTCTATTCATCACTAGAATTTCTTTGCTCTCACCTGCAACTATATTTCAATAACTGAGTAGTTCCTTCCTTCTAAACATTATCTCAAAAACACCAGAACCTACTCGGTGTACTTGTCACTTCACCAAGCGATCAAGAGTGAATTTTGCTTCGAAACTATCCATCAGCAAAAGCACAGTATTGCTGAGGTCTCCAATTACCTCATGCTTGGCTTAGGCCAACATCAACTTGGCGGCGCTTCACGTAACTCGGAATTACTAAATATTTCTTAAGATAGGAAAACGTGTGGAGTTGAATCGTCCGTCTTTCTGTGCAGCTGCACATTGTCTCCTGCTGGTTTGTCGACATCCAATTGGCGTACTGATAGCCCAACCGAATTTTCCTTTATGAGACAATACGTTGGAGAAACCATCCCCTGGAGGTGCAAAGGTCACTGCGTCGTGCTTGGCTTTGGCAACATCACTGGGCGTTAACTTGCCTTATAGGAAGTTTTCCTTTAGACGAGAATGTGTGGAAGAAATCAGCCGTTGGCGGGCGCCGGGCGAGCGGTGGTGGTGGCGGTGGAGCGCGGCCGGGACGGGCGGAAGGGCGGGGCGGCGAGAGAGGGCGCGGCGGCTGGTGGTGGCGTTACACGTAACCGATGTGGGGCTTGCGCGGCGCGGCGCCGTTGAGTGGCTAGGGCGCGGGTCGACGTTGGCGGCGCGGGGGCGTGGCGTCGGGCGGCGTCTCCTGAGCAGGGCGGTCCCCCACGCGTCATGGGCGGGAGCGGTGGTTGCGGGTGGTGCAGGAAGGTGACGGGCGGCGGGTGGTGCGTCCTTGGCGCCCAGCACCACGCCCTCCATGCGGGTCGGCGTTCTCCTTGCTGGTGACAGCATGAGCACCGCCGCCGTTTCTGCAGGTTGCGTGCGCAGCCGCCGCCGCAAGCAAGCGCGCGCCGACGCCTCGGCCTCCGTCCTCGCCCGGGCGCCGGCAACAGCGGCCCGACCCCGACCAGCAGCAGCAGGCCGCACCGTCCCGGCGAACAGCGCCAGCACCACCTGCGCCACAGCGCCAATTAGCCATTCGGCACTCGCCGCACCAACCACACCAACGTGTACGTGGGCCGAGCGCTATCAAGAACCCAATTACATTTTGAATCTATTGAACTATAATGACAATTTTCTCAATTAGTCATCCAACAATCATCAATTAATATATATGTTTTCAGTTTACACAGAAAAAATCATTCCAAAACACAAATATCATTTCCATTTCTAATATTGAAAGCACAATGTTTTGCATTCAATATTAAGTATTTAATAGACGTGTCAATTATATTACATTTTTATGTCAAATAAAGTATTGATGTATCTTCAAAAGATAACATGCAACAAAATATAATGAACTAAGACTTAAAACAATTGCAAATACTCCCAAAAATGATTCGAATATCTTGTTGTTTTAGTTATTTTTTTACTCAAAGACGCTTGTGGATAACGGAAAATTCGTAACAAATATTTGTTAAAAACAATGCATAATATTAAAAAAACGCACATCTCAAGCAATATAAATTATATCAGCTTTCTAAACATTGAATGTAGAAAAAACAATTCATCGAAGGTCGTTCTTAACCACCACCCTGATCCCGGAGGGCGGAAGGTAGCCGCGCAGTTTGTAGTCGTGGTATGGCAGAATGTGTGCCAAAAAATGAGGGCAAGCCAAATACGAAGAGGGCTACGAACGAACAAACACAGAACACAGTGAAGGTGAAAACAAGTTAGGTTTCCAGGAAGAGAAGGTTGAGGATAGAGTGAAACGGAGAGATCAGTATGCAAGGGTGGCCATTCAGGTGAAGTAGGTGAAGTGGCGGCTTCACCCAATTATTTCAATCAGAATTATATGTGTTAAATTTATTTTTCGTATCGCTTACTATATGTATGTAATTTCAATTAGAAACATAAGTGAATTTTTGAATGGCAGGCGCACCACGAAACTCTTCTGTCAATTAAAACTAAACGAAAATATTCTGAGAAGAGGAAAAAGAGAAAATACATTTGGCATAATCACTGAAACATTCTTCATGACAGGAAATATTGAAAATAAAGTGTACTAAGTGAATAAGAAAACAAAGAAATGACAGGGACTTATGTGGCAGGATTGAGAGGACAATGCAGGAAAAAATTTTCAGGACAATGAAGGCATCGTACCCTTCTTTAGCGAAAATGATAGTTTTGCTCATCAATAATGAGAGTTACTAATCATTAAGGATATTGGTCTTCTGTTATATTCATTGTTGGGTTATACTAAGCAGGGAATAACATTTAAATTGGGCTGAAATTATCTTTCGCTTCCATATTTTACCTCGGAACATTGGTCTACTTGTTTGCCCAAAATTCACCTCTTCTGATTCTTGCCTGTGTCGTGTCGAATTATTTCACGCACACCGCAGCGCCAATAGAGTTGGTGTGTAACCAATTGCGCGCGTTGGTTCCACAAACGCTGATCTGCCAACACTTAGAGGCCTTCTCCCCAGTGCAGGGCAGTCACCCGCTGCTCCAAACTTCCAGTACACGCGTCCGCGCAGCCCGGCCCCACCCACCCGCCGCCCCCACTGCCCGGCTCCGCTCGCGCGTGGCCCGCCGCCCGCCCGCCCGCACCGGCCCGCCGCCCGCCCGCCCGCCGCCCCCGCCCGCCCGCCCGCCCGCCGCCGCCCGCCGCCGCCCGCCCGCCCACCGCCGCCCGCCCACGCCGCCCGAACACCCACCCGCCGCTTGCCCGCCCACCCGCCCGCTTGCCGCCACCGCCCGGCTTCCAGTCCGCGCCCGCTCGCCCGCCGCCCCGCCCAGCCCGCGCTGCTCGCCCGCCCGCCGACCCTCCGACACCTCCGCCCGCTCGCCCGCCCGCCCGGACCGCCCGCCCACCCCCCGCTTTGCCCCGCCGCGCCGCCACCCACCTCGCCCGCCGCTCGCCCGCCCGCACTGCCCGCTCGCCCGCCCGCCCCCGCTCGCCCGCCCGCCGCCGCTCGCCCGCCCGCCCGCCGCTCGCCCAGCCCGCCCGCCCGCCCCGCTCGCTCGCCACCCGCCCGGCTAATCAGGCTAGCAGCGGCCGGACGTGCGCCTTGGGTTGGTCTTTGGAGCGACGACTGCAAAGCGACAAACGGCCTCCCGAGAGGAACGCACCGCAGGATTAACTGCTCATTAAACAAACGCTCATGACTAATCAAATGTGAAACGAACAAGTTGCTGTGAATGTTGATGAACTGTTTCGTATAGTATCTGGATTATTCAGTTAGTACTCAAAACGTTGTAAATTGCTCGATCGTTGCAAGAGGATTTAACGCCTGCGAAACGACTACGCAGAATGCTCATCACTAGCTTTTGGATTTTGGGAGGTTGTTAATTTCAAAGCGTGACAGTGAATGAAAATACTCGCGCGCCACATAATTAAAAAATCTTTTATATAATATAAAAATAAATATTTTAACTATTTCAGAAAATTTATATATTCAGCGAAACAATTTTTTTCGTGTTCCTCTAAAACAGAATATGAAATAAATGGATATTTGAGCATTTTAATGTGCAGTACGTGTTTTTCCAGAAAATATGGTTTAAAGCTGCGCGACTTTGGAAATCAACTCTTAATCTACACCATGTTTTACTCTGGGGATAACGGGGTCTTCCATTGAAAAGGATGCGTGGTTATGTAGGATTGATAACACGCTCCAATCATAGGCATCCACGCCTTATGTTGGTTCTAACACAAGAGGCGCCGATTGTGGAGTAGGTGTTCATTGGACCCCGGTACAAGCTATGGGCCAGCTACCAAAAGCCACCCTAGCTGAGTTAAGTACGCAGGAGAGGTATCGCGGCGCCACTACCGGCCCACTACACAATCGTAAACAGAGAGGTGCGTTCAGTGCATCCGTGTGTCCACTGCAGTGCCTCTGAACGGGAAGTGAATAAGGTTCCAGTTCCTGACGGAGGCAGGAATTTCCACAGATAAGCTTGTCAGCTAGGTGGAAGGTTCATTCTGGAATAGAATTCTTGAATCCGGCTGCTGCGATCGTAGTTTTCCGTGGTTTCTTCGATCAACACAAGACGAATTCCGTGAGTAGTATCCTACAAAATGGGTCACGGATCGCACGCGATCTATCCTTCCTCTTCCTTTTCTATCCTCACCCCTTACCACATACCACTAACGTTGCCACCACACTTCCACACATGCCGAGGACCGACCGGGAAGCTAAGAGGTTGTTTCGCTTGGCGGATGTTTCCCGCTGGTTGGAGATCCTAGTTGAAAACAAACCCCGCTAGACCAAATGCCGAATCTCACCATCTAGCTGGGACATCACCGTCACCTCCCGAGCAAAACCAAGACTCACTTACGGACTAATGACCTCAACAGGTTGACGCGTGCCGGAATCCACTAACAACAAACCAACCAAACAAACAATTAAACGTCCCGTTTCAGGAATGCCAGACATTGCAAATTGCCGAATGCTGAGAGCTGCCTTCAAACAAATGCGACGTGCGCCTCCGGCGCGCGCAACACCGCCGCGGAGAGCTTTCGCGCGAATCGTCCCTCCGTCCCCGCCCCCGCCTCGCCCCGCCTCCCCTCCCCTCACCCGCCGGTTGGCGGGCAACCGCCTTTCACCCGTGCAGCCGGCGGCGGCGCGGCGCCTATGCCGTCCGGTGTGCGCGTCGCCTCGCCTTCGCGTTCCGCATCGCATCGTGCTGCGCAGTGCGTGACTAATTGGTCAAACCCGCCCCTTTCCCTCCTTTCCCTCCCGCGCCTCGCACCGGAGGCGGGCAGGGCGCGGCCCAAGCCCCCGCCCCCACGCACACGCACCGCTCCGCTCCTCGGCGCTCCACAATGGCTCCAACAGGTGCGCCCCGCGCCCCGCCACGGAAGCCGAACGGGGACACGTGTGAACACACGCGTCGGCGACATTTGGATTTGGGTGGGGACAGCGGGGGCTGCTGAATGCCTAGGGCCGGGGAGAGGGGGCGTAACAGGTCGGAATGTTACAACTGCGAAGTAAGCCTCTATATACACAGTAGGCAAATACATACTACTATGTTAATACTACAAGTATTCTTAACCAATATGACATTATTTAAAGGGGAGAAGTGTATTCTGTGCACGTTTTCTTAATTCTGGGATCTCTTCCCTAAACCATACAAGAGTTAAATTCTGAATACACAGATAAATTTGTATTTTTGATTAGAATTGTTAACAAAATATTCGCTCCGATGCTATAAAATTTATTTTCATAGATAAATCAGCTATAGATTTGGAATGTTTTGTGAGAATGAACATTTTCGAAATATAAATAGAATTACATATTCTCATAATGGCATATTATTTACCGCTTCCATAATGCCTTATTATTTTTTCATTTACGAAATGAAACACTTTATTGATTCAAAATATTATTTTTGTTCAAAATATTTTTGGAAACTAGAACATCCGTTCTATTAGATTTCGACTCTGAGATGATTATTTGCTAGATGCACAGGCAATATTTTAGCGTAGTACAAAATATAAATTAATCCATAAATATAATTGTGTATTACAAAATACATATTGTTGTCGTATTTGAAACCGATCATTCTCGTTGGAATGAAGTCATTTAAAACTACAAGGAATTACAACAAAATTTCAAAAAGTAATTTTGAGTAATAAATGTTATAAGAAATATTACATTAAACTGTGTTTTGTATGTGCAGCACTTTTCTAATTTTAGTTTGCATAACTAAGCAGTAGTTTATCTAAACCGGTACAGCGCGTGACAATCAACTATGGGAATGTGAAATTGTTGTCATCGTGAACATTTTGATTTTAGTGTAGAGAAAGTTCGTTTCCGATGGAATTTGGTAGCTCATGCGAAAACGGCGAAAGTGCATTGTTTTCAAACATTGATGCCACAGCGGTGTTTAGCGTGCGTCGTGGTGCGGGGTCGCACTGGATTGCAATTTGCACATGGCGTGCGCGTCTATCCAACCAAACATTTGCGTTGAAACCGCGCGTGCTTCCCGGCGCCTTCGAACCTCACAGGGGCAATCAGAGAAATCAAACCGCTGCCACCCACAATTCTCGGTACCGTGGAATGCGATCGCCAAAATGTTTGACGTTCTGCTGCACGCTTTTCAAATTTTGGCCCTAGTTTTGTATTCAGACTTTGCGGTTCTAATCTGGACCTTTTTCCTCTCGATGATGATGCCTGGGAAAGAAGCGATGCATACGAAATAGGATATTAAGGACAAGAATTAAATGAAACAGGAGATAGCCGGCACAACAGAAACCGGCAACAATTTCATAATGATTCGGAAAGATAATGTCGATGAGGAAGATGCTCTCCACATCCATGCGATGAAAACTGATAATTCCTGAAATATTCTTGCAAAAGGAAAAATTCGAATATACAATTTGCAAAATTACTTCAAACTACTAAAACTAAAACTACTCATATTTTTTAAATATTGTACAAAATTTTAATAAAGAACTGACGTTTAAGAAAATATTTCATTAAACAACTAATCGTGCTAAATCAACAATTATTTTCATACAAAATTACGCGAAAAGTATTCAAAGTTTCGAACACGATGGGTGGACGGACTGATGTTTTGTCTGAATCTATTTTTTTTTTGGTTTCAAGAAGCCATCAAACTTTGATTCCGACTGCACAGTTTTCTATATGCTACATTAAATAACATACACTTCCCATTTAATGTCGTGGTAATTGAGAAGTTCCTAGGCATTTTAGGATCCAATGGGTCCCTAGACTTTCCAAAGGACATTGGAGTTTCTTTCCTGCATTTACTACCAGCAATGCTAAATTGCTCTATCGTAATTTACAAATTGTGTGTTAAGTTTAATAGAGCTGCTGAGAGCTATTAACGAGATAATTAGTAGATCGCCTCGAGACGTGATCCCCAGGGCCTTGAGGGCACTGAGTGAGAATCCTGGCATTGCCCCAAAGGTTCCAATCACCAATGGCAGGCGTTCGTTACTACATGACGTTGGGCTGCCAGGGGAATGACTGGTTGGTATTTTACCACCTTTTCTCCCCTGCTTTCAGAAGGCTGGATTCATCCCCGTGGCGGACAGTCACACCGACCACGTGGCTTCCCGGCTTTTTATTACCATGTCAGGTTTGAGTCTAACCCCTTCGGCAACGGAGAAAGTAGTTTCCGTGAACACCACGGTGACCGATTTCCGGAGCATCTTCCCTTCTATGAAGTTTTTGATCTCGTCATGACGCTTTATTCTTGTTGGCTTCGTAAAAGGATGATTCATGATTTCGACCGAGGATGTGATTCATGGTTTCTACCGCTGTATTGCGCTTCCTGCAGTATACATCCTCTCCGGGCCATCCTCTGCTAAGAATAGTTTTATTAGCAGCGGTATTTGATCTCAAAGACCAGGTTTCAGAAGATAATAATCTTTCAAGAAGTTTTTACCAATCAGATCGTTTATATGTGCCCTAACCGCTCTCTCTTGGGATCCCAGATTCTCCCAGGCGGCTACCTCGTCATTGGCGCATAGAGGAAGTAATTTACTACATACAGAACATTTTTATCTACATTTTAGTTACCAGGACCGGGAAATTAGGAGTTTTTTTTCGAAAACTCAGCTGCAGCATTCCCAGCATTAGTTTTCCCGCAGCATTACAACTGCGTAAGCAGTAGGCGAGAAAGTAAAAAGAAATAGCACTGATATGATACAAAATGAACACACAAAGGGAAGTGAATTCGTGTAAAAAGAGGTGACAGATAGGCTGAAGAGACGTGGATGACACAGCTGCGTTTTGACGACGAATGTGCCAAATCAAGATTTAAAAGACCAGATGATGCATAAGCAATGTGAAGGGAGTAATGAGGAAGGGAGAACGGGACAAGTAAAGAGAGGATGATAAACTCTGACTCAGATTAGCGACGAGGACGGAGGAAATTAACGATTAAGAGGCTTTGGGAAGTGAAATTTATAACAATTACAAATGGGGGCTCACAGTGATAAAATTACGTGGAAATTGAAGATGATGGAAGAGACAAATATGATGAAGACGCCACGGGAAGCGAGAAAAGAGGTAAGGGATATTATTTCTACTGTCATATGGATGAGGAATCATGATGACAATCATGACGTAAGAAATGAAGATTGTTATGTATCTACAGAAATAAGTAATGAGGAAGGGAAGAGTGAACTACGAAATGTATTGAAGAGATGGATGGGAACTGAAGACCAGAGCGAGTACGAAGAGCAATGTGAAGTGAGAATAAATAGGAAAGACGGAAGGCAGCGTAATGAGGATATTGTCGAGGGAACAGAAGAGGAGAGAGAATTTGTCGATGAAGAAGGCGTGGAAGTGAGGAAGGGAAGATGGATGGGAACTGAAGACTGAAAAGAGAGTGACTACGAAGAGCAGTGGGAAATGAGAAAGGAGGTAGAGAAGATGGAGGGGGACAGCAAATGAGAGAGAATAATGAAGAGCAACAGGAAGTGAAGATAAAGGAGGGCAGATGGAAGGGAACGTAATTAAGATGTTGTCAAGGGAACTGAAGACGAGACAGAATTCGTTGATGAAGAAGGCGTGGAAGTGAGAAAGAAGGAAGGGAAAGTGGAAGGGGGCTGAAGAAGAGAAAGACTAGAAGAACAATGGGAAATGAGAAAAGAGGTAGAGCAGATGGAAGGGGACAGCAAATGAGAGAGAATAATGAAAAACAAGGGAAGATGTAAGGGGAGTGAAGACTACGAAGAGCAATGGGAAGTGAGAATGAAAAAGGAGGGAAGATGGAAAGGAACGTAATGAGGATATTGTCGAGGGAACTGAAGACGAGAGCGAATTCGTTGATGATGAAGGCGTGGAAATGAGAAAAAAGGCAGGGAAGGTGGAAGGGGGTTGAAGAAGAGAGCGAATACGAAGAGCAATTGGAAGTGAGAATGAATAAAGGAGGGCAGATGGAAGGGAACGTAATGAGGATGTTGTCGAGGGAACAGTAGACGAGAGAGAATTCGTCGATGAAGAAGGCGTGGAAGTGAAAAAGGGAAGTTGGGGGAGGGGTCTGGAGATGAAGAGCGAAGGGCAAATGAGGGGGCGGGGGCGTACTCACGATGGCGACGATGATGACGGAGAGCCAGGAGGCGTCGCAGCGCACGGCGGCCTCGGGCGCCTCGGCCACCAGCTTGTAGCGCAGGGGCTCGGGCTCGGCGCAGCGGATGGCGTCCACGTCGAGGTGCAGGGTGGCGGCGCCGCCCGCGTCGCCCGCGCTGCCGCCGCCGCCGCCCGCCGCCGCCGCAGCCGCCGCCTCCGCCGACGCGTTGCGCGCCTCGACCTCCAGCTGCCGGCGCGTCAGCAGCCACAGCCACAGCAGCGAGCAGTTGCAGTGCAGCGGGTTGTCGCCCAGCGCCAGCGAGCGCAGCTGGTCCAGCGGGAACTGCGACGAGTCCAGCGACGTGAAGCCGTTGCCGCGCACCTGCGCACACGCATCCACGCACCTTAACTATGCCCACGTTTGCACTTCGATTTAAACATAGAGACTTGCCTTAAATAAGCTGTTACGGTGGAATCCCATCGGGAGCTTGAACAACACGCATACTGCGATTTATTTAGAGCTATCTCTGACGCAAATCGGCTGTTGCGGTGTCATCCAATCGGGAGGTTGAACGTCACCATAGTGTCGTCACTGTAGTGATGTATAAGCTCCCGATTGGATGACACCATAACAGCTGACGTGCAGCCAAGTGCAGATCTGAATAAGTCGAAGTATGACAGTAGTGATGATTAAGCTCCTGATTGGATGACACCGTAAGCTGATCAAACGTCTACGGACTCTGTAAATAATTTGAAATATAGTTCAGCTCTCCTTTTGCGTTACTCCGAGTGAAACATACTGGCACTAGAAGGTCGCGAGCTGGACGGAGACGGGGACACTATCATCCATTGGGAGATTCGTTACGACTTATATTTTTGATATTGGAGCTCCCGATTGGGTGAAAATATCCTCCTCTCCTTCCAGAAAATGACATTGAAGTGCCACTATGTTTAAATCGGATATAGTTGTGATAGGAGTAAAGCCAGGGGGGGTTTGATATTTTCTTATCAATTGTAGCAACTAAATTCTGTAGTTCGTTTACCAATGAAAACAATTTTGAATAACTTGGGAGCGAAAGTGACTATTTTCAATTTAGTAAAAACGTGTGCAAATTGTTTTTAGTCATATTACCTTGGTAGTATTGCAGGCGCGCACACACGATTAATTCCTCATGAAAATTATTATTGTTATAATTTTGTTCTGGTTACAGAGTAGTATTAGATAAATAAATGTTAATAATCTCGCCTGTTTGGTTCTTTTATTCATCATTCAATTATTTACGGTAAAAGTTAGAGAAGGGATTCTAGGGCTAAAAAAGTTTTACTTCTCCCCTTACATCACACACAGTTCTTACTGTTCTTTCACCAAATAAAGTCATTGCGCTGGCCATCGATGAGTTGGGTGTTGCGTAAAAGGGCATTGGGGAAGATACTTAACAAGATATAAGACAAGGAGATAATAAAAGTGCAAATAGTTGGAAAAATGAAGGAAATGGGCGGAAGGAAAACATTACACACTTCATGAAGAACCTTTCTCTCTTTCCTGATGCAAATTGTCTCATTGGAAATGCGTGGGTAGTAGAAGACCATTGAAAAGAACAAAAATATATTTCACAACTACAAAATTACTTGGTTAGAAAAAGAGAAAAGCCAACGCGATTAGTAATGAAGTTTTGGAAATGAAAAAAGAAATATACCAATCAGTAGAACGGCAAATAAATTAATATTTACTTCTTAGTTAATTTGTTAAAATGTTAGCATCAACCATTAACCCTTTTGATTAACAAATACAACTATTTGATTTGTGACTTTGAAGCAATGGAATTTTGGGAAGAAATTTGGTAGATAGTTGTAGTGTACTGTATTGGTAGATGATTGTACTGTATTTTGACCCAATTCCGGGAAGACATGCCAAGAAAGCTGTCTGAAGAATAATTTGTTGGGATAACTGCAGAATGTTGAATAATTGTGAAATACGTTTCACGGAAAATTGAAAACCGTATATTCCTACAATAATTTACGTTAAAAAGCCGTAAATCCACGGCAGACATCTTTGTGAAATAACTATGTAAGTGTAGAGGACTTACACAAGGTACTTGAAAAGCATCCTGCCCATCTTGCAGGAATATACACATTTTACCCTACACCTCACAACTGAAGCAATATGGCTGCAATGTGTCTGCTATTTCAACTACGTTATTTAATTGATTGTTTGGCGGTTCCGGTCATGTCAACTTCTAAGGTCAGTAGGCCTGTAAATGTAGTATGTATTTTTGTCGCGGGAGGTGATGATCTCCTTCCGCTGCCTGGCCAGATCCGGCGGTTGCTTACACGGCGGCTTGCGGGGTTATCCCAACCAGGTATCGCCCACCAGTGAGGCACGGTCCGAATCGGGACAAGCTCTAAGCTTTCGACCGGTCTCCCAACATGGGTGGTAGAACAGTGCACGTACGTTGAAGTGTGAGTATGTGTTTGTGTGTGTTAGTAAGAGGTGAAAATGGGACAAGAAAGAGGAAGGGAAGATTACACGCGGTCCGTGGCCTGTTTCCTACGGTACTGGTTCGGCATTCGCCTGATGCTGATTAGAGAAACCATGGAAAATTACCGATCAAGCCAGCTGGCCGCTTGATTCTCGTCCAAACAGCGGGTGAACTCGACCCAGGTATCTAGTCCGTGAAAAATCCTACCACCGTCGGGGCTGGGAGCCTAGGACCTCACATTAGTGAGGCACGTCAGCGAGTCAGCAAAGTGGTGGAGATGGGAAGGGAGAGCGTACCGACATACGGACGAGCGCGGGTTGGTCGTAGCCGTAAGACCTCCCAGTCAGAAGCAGTTGCTGTTCTACAGCAACTGCAGTTGGAGCCCTGAGCCACCAGAGCGGAGGGACGGGGTGGCGGGAGAAGGAGAGGCCGTACCGAGATGTGAATGAGCGCGGGTCGGTCGTAGCTCTAAAATCTCCCGGTCAGAAGCACGGCAGTTGGAGCGCTGAGCCACTAGAGCGGGGAGAAGGGGTGGTGTAAGCCGAGATGTGGACGAGCGCGGGTAGGTCGTAGCCCTAAGACCTCCCGCTAAGAAGCTGGGGCCCTGAGCCACAAGTGGGGGGGAGGGGGGTGTAGGCCGTACCGAGATGTGGACGAGCGCGCGCCGGTCGTGGAAGAGGCGCGCGGGCAGCGTGTCGAGCCCCGTGTCGTCCAGCTGCACGCTCTCCAGGCGCACGTTGTCGGCGAGCGCGCGCGCGTCCACGCGGCGCAGGCGCGGCAGGCGCGACAGGCGCAGGCGCCGCAGCTCGAACAGGCTCTGGAAGGCCACGGGCTCCAGCGCCGGCAGCGCGTTGCCGCTCAGGTCCAGGTCGGCCAGGCGCGCCAGCTTGGCCAGCGCCGCCGTCGGCACCGACGTCAGGTTGTTGTCGCTCAGGTCCAGCGTCTGCAACCCGCCCCGCGCAACGCCCTCAGCTCTTTCATCTCACAGACAATAATTGAGGACAGCACTTTTTAATAATGACTTGGACTTTCATGTTGTTACTGAAGTTTTGACAGGTTGGCACAGGACCAGCGTCTGCAACGCAACCACAGCGCACTCAACTCTTTCATCTCACAGACAAGCAATAAGGTTTAGAGGAAAGTAGTTTTTAATAATGACTTGGACTTTCAAGTTTTTATTGAGGGGTTGTCAGGTTGGCACAGGATCAGCGTCTGCAACGCAACTACAACGCACTCAATTTTTTTATCTCACAGACAAGCGATGAGATTTAGAGAATCCTACATTTTAATAATGACTTGGATTTTCAAGTTTTTACTGAGGGTTTATCAGGTTGGCACAGGATCAGCGTCTGCAACGCAACCATAACGCACTCAACTCTTCTCACAGATAAGAGATCATGTACTCTTAATAATTTTCAATTTTACTGAGATTTCGTTAAGTTGGCACAGGTCCACAGCAACTACAACTCTAGGCATAACTACACATAGCTCATTCTTCTAGCAAGATTATGTTACAAATGGTGTAGGGATTGTTGCCGCTATGGTTGTTTGGCGCTATATTTTTACTGTTGGAACCAGCTACAAGCTCTCTTAATGCATTATTATAAGCATAATTTATTCGCACCCCTTTGATATAGGTTAGCGACAAGTCTCGTACAATTCGTTTGATTGTATTTTAAGGGTCAAGTGTTTTATGTTCTCTATTTTACATTATCGACTTTGACTGCGTATTTCACAGTAGCCGAATGCCCGCGCTAATCTGATCCCTCATTGGTGCACCTGTCTTCTCAAACATCCTAGAATTGCTAGCGCGTTGTAACAATTGTAAGTCCACAATTATCAGTAGCACCCACGGCCAAAGCAGTCGCTACATCACGCGACACATTTTGAATAATTATAATATTTAAGTCATTCAATATTTTAGCCTTGTAAAATATATCATAATTCTTAACTTTTAAATTCTTGTACAATCATGTAGCTTACATTAATTATGATTCAAACATGCTCTTAATCCTTTAATTGTAATCTACTAAAATATTAATTCTGATTGACTGAACACTACTTCAACCGCGGGAGGCAGCGCCATCCTCTCTCGCCAACAGAAAAATCAATTGATCGCCTGTGTTCGCTCTTGCCGCACGCAATGACAAGATGCTTCGCATCTCGGCGCTATTTGTGCTAGTTATGATTACACATGAATCTCAGACATTGTAGTCGTTGTAGGCATGTAGAAGCTATGAATACTCAACGAGTTTCTGAATCTATGAAGAATGAAATAATTTATCAGAGAGTGAGTTGAGAGAATTTTAAAAAATTATTCCAAGACACAATATAAGTGTTATTCTCATATATAATTAATTAAACAGCAAACAGAATTGAACAGCAAATAATGTTCTAATTTATTAAAAAATATATGAATCTCGAGCCATTTGTGCAGAACTATCAAATAAAACGAACGTTGAGAAGAAATATTTAAAGCACCTCTCTTCCACGCAAAAGAGAAAGCTTGATCGTACTGCGATCCCAGGGAACTAGAGGCGAGTCTCAGACGTGTTTACCTATTCTCTCTGTTTGCAGTTACTGCGCAGTGGCTCTGAAAAAGTGATGCGTTCAGCGGCGGGCACCGCAACTAAGGCTCTCTGGCCAAAGAGGGAATAAAGACTCACGACGCACCCGCGAATAAAATTACGGAAAATTCTGCACTTTTGTATTCATCTTTCACGTTTTTTGCAAAGCATCTCTCCTGCTTACAGAGAAGATAGTGTTTTTCAGTGCTCATCTCTACGATTTGTAGAGTATTAGAAGGACTTTCCTATTTGAGAAATGACCAATTTTGACAGTATTGGTAACTACTACTCGCGTTAAGAAGAAGTAAAATGTCATTCCAAATATGTATACTACATTTAATATCATTGATATTATTTATTATTAATCCTATTTTTTCATTACAATTTTCTTTTCTTCACAAAGTCTCCATAGAAATTTGGCTGTGAAATTGATTAAAATGTATGACCTATGGATTATAAATAATTGTATATTATAAAATATATCTAAGGTCTTATGAAATGAATGCAGAAGGAACAGATAAAATCTAGGCGTGAAATAAATCGGCATATCAGTTTATGCAATTATCGAATGAAAGAACTACTGTCGGGTCAACAAAATTGTAAGTCTAACGGATAATTTTCAATGTACTCTCTTCGGCGCTGCACACATGTCCAAAAAATCTTTAAATGAAGCTTGTGACACATACTCTACAATGCCGTGAGTTGATTTGAACTCTGTGTAATTAGGGTTGGAGCAGCGGTGCCTTGCCACAGGGCGTAGTGGGTCGCGTCTGCTCGAAAGGAAAGAGATACTTTCTGAACTGCACTTAGGTTTGAAGCAAGTGTATTATTTATTATTTAGATCAGCTAGTTTGAATTTATTGTCTCATTGTAACATCTCTACAAACGTATGTATAAGGTTTTTCCAAAGTTAATATTTCACATTTATTTTTTGAAGGATCTTATAATACTTCTAAATGTAGCTAGCCATAATAAAATGTTTACTAGTCTATTCATTTATAAAAATAATATATATCACTAACTGCATTATGACTTTAAAGTCTGATATCATACAATATCGTGTACATTTCTTTACGATTAAGTAGAATACTAAAGATGTTAACGAATTTATATTTAATTAGCCATGACAAATATAATTATATAACCCAAAATACAGATGATTTTTAGTTTTTTACCAAATGACCGGGATTCACAAGATCACTATTCCTATAATCACAACTGCAAGAATGAAAAATATAATTATCTAATTTACAATATGCGTAGAAATTGATGCAGCCCTTGACCTTGTCAGAGATGCCTATGGTTTGTTTACCCAGGAACTCGTGAAAAACACAAAAAAATCTATTATTACTAATTTACAGTGCGCGCAGAAATTGCAAGGAGGGTACACAGCATCCAGCCATGTGAAGGTAGCTGGAGAGATGTCTTTCTCTGCAGGAAGGGAGGGCAGTTGAAGACATACTGGGGAGAGGGCAGTGACACTGGAACGGGGTTGTGGTTTGCTGTCGGACTCGAGAGAGATGTGTTCTTTTGCAGGGAGGGAAGGCTGTCGAAGGTCTCCCGAGGAGTGGGTAGTGACGTTGTGGGGGGCCGAGGGGTCTCTGCTTGAGGGGGGCCATGTGAGAGATGTCTGCTTCTGCAGGCTGCCTCCGCAGGGAGGCAGGGCTGTCGAAAGGCTCGTGAAGAGTGGGCGGTGGCGCTGGAAAGGGGCTGTGGTGTGCCGAGGAGTGCCGTAGGCCATGTAAGAGAAGCCTGATTCTGCAGGGAGGCAGGGCAATCTAACGGCTCGTGAGGAGTGGGTAGTGACGGTGGAGCGGGTCTCTGTGGTGGCGACGGCCATTCGTGAGCTGTCTGCTTTTGCAGGGCAGTCGAAGGGCTCGTGAGGAGTGGGTAGTGTCGCTGGAACGGGTCTGTTAGGTGCCGAGTGGTGCCGTAGGCCATGCAAGAGGTGTCTTCTTCTGCAGGTTGCCTCTGCAGGGAGGCAGGGCTGTCGAAGGGCTCGTGAGGAGTAAGTGACGCTGGAACGGGACTGTGGGGTGCCGTAGGCCATGAAAGAGAAGCCTGATTCTCCAGGGAGGTAGGGCAGTCGAACGGCTCATGAGGAGTGGGTAGTGACGCTGGAACGGGGCTGTGGGGTGCCGAGGAGTGCCGTAGGAAGAGAAGCCTGATTCTGCAGGGAGGCAGGGCAGTCGTACGGCTCGTGAGGCGTGGGTAGTGACGGTGGAGCGGGTCTCTGTGGTGGAGACGGCCATTCGTGAGCTGTCTGCTTCTGCAGGGCAGTCGAAGGGCTCGTGAGGAATGGGTAGTGTCGCTGGAACGGGTCTGTTAGGTGCCGAGTGGTGCCGTAGGCCATGCAAGAGGTGTCTTCTTCTGCAGGCTGCCTCTGCAGGGAGGCAGCGCAGTCGAAGGGCTAGAGAGGAGTGGGTAGTGACGCTGGAGCGGGGCTGTGGGGTGCCGTAGGCCATGCGAGAGAGGTCTGCCTCTGCAGGGAGGCAGGGCAGTCGGAGGGCTGGTGAGGAGTGGGCAGAGGGAGGCGCCGTACCTGCAGCGCGGGGAGGCCGTCGAAGGCCGCGCGGTGCACGCGCATGACGACGTTGCCGCGCAGGTGCAGCGCGCGCAGGTCGCGCAGCGCCGGCAGCGCCTCCTCCTCCAGCGCCTCCAGCAGGTTGTCGCTCAGTCCCAGCAGCTTCAGCGCCGGCAGCCGGCGCAGCGCCCCCGACGGCACCTGCGCGCAACACCCAGCACCCTTAAGGCTGGCGCTCGGACGAACATGATTGTGCATGGTCGGTTTAAGAGCACTTGCAGAAACACCTTTGGACATTGAGACAATTTAAGAGCACGTGGAGGAACAAAATTGTACAGAGTGCCGCTTTAAGGCATTTGGAGGAAAACGTTCGTACAGAGGGTTGGTTTAAGAGCAAAATGAGGAACCCGATTGCACAGTGTCGATTTAAGAGCACTTGAAAAAACAAGATGGTGTCGATTCAATATCACTCGTTAGAACATGATTGTAAAGTGTCTATTTAATAGCATTTGCTGGAATACTATTGTACAGAGGGTCGGTTTAAGAGCACTTGGAAATTCACCTTTGGACATTGAGACGATTTAAGAGCACGCGGAGGAACAAAATTTAAGAGTGCCTCTTTAAAGGCACTTGGAGGAAAACGTTCGTACAGAGGGTTGGTTTAAGAAACATTGAGGAACACAATTGTACAGTGCCAATTTAAGAGCACAGGCAGGAACACGTTTGTAGAGCGTCGATTTAAGAGCACTCGAAAGAACACGATTGTACAATGTCCATTTAAGAGCACTTGAAAAAAACAAGATGTTGCAGTTGACTTAATAGCGTTCGGTGGAACACCATTATATAGTGTCGATTTAATGGCATTTGCAGGAACACTATTGTACAGAGGGTCGGTTTAAGGTCACCTCGAGGAACACGAATCTACAAATTGGGCTATTGGGTTCAATAATTAATCACGCCTATGATAAGAATCTGAATCATATAAAATTTATATGATATTTATTCATATTTAATATGAAAGTGTTGTGGCATCAGTGACTTTTTTATACAGGAGGGGACTGAGTTAGCAAGATAATTCTCTCTCTTTATCTATCTATTTAACTCTCAGAGCAATTGTGTGATGTAACAAAAAAGAAAATGAGTAATGATTTGATTTAAAAACTCGTTTAATTGACTGGTTTATAGAGTGAGTTGATTATATGAACGTGCTTTCATGCACTTGTAGTTAAAATTACACGTATACTCCATTTACAATGAAAGCGGGTCACGACTGTTAACCCGAGATGAAATCAACGGTTGGCCAAAGGTCGCCAAAAGCACTATTTCGTGGAATTTAGTTAGTGTGCAGGGACCTTTCCAGCAACTGCTATCGCGGCGTGCACGTATCGCGGACTCTTGGGTTTACATGTGTGATGGCGATAAGTTCCATTCGCTCTGTTATACTTCTTCCATATGGGGAGAGAGCACGCAGGGCTGGGCGGATTTGCATCCGAGTGCATGGCTCTGCACTATACAACCGCTCTGAGGGTTCACGGAGCTGTGGAAAGCGTGTTGATAAATGTGTCATTTGAGTGACCGAAGAAATTAAGCTAGTTTCAGAAACCACCACTAAAGGTGATACTTCCATACTGGTAAATATAAAGAGTAAAATATGCTCGGTGTACACTCTTCGTGATAACATTTTATGTACACACTTTTATATTGAAGTAGAGTAGAAATGCTCTTTTACCCTAATGTGTAAAACTAACAAGATGTTAAAGGCTAGCATGCACAATTCCAAAATTGCAGAAGAGCATGAAATAATTGGAACAATGGTTCAACTGGAATGAACTAACCAAAATAAATATACTTCATTGATAATTCAATACAACGGTATCCTTTTCTTCTTTCTCGACACTTAATTTAATTGAGTTTATTATATCACTTGAGGTGGCTTAGGGCACGAACTGATGACACATGGCTGCATTATGGCGGTGCAGTGTGGCAGCGTGGAGGTGTGTAGGCGTGGTGGCATGGTGGCGCATAAAGTGAGTTGATGGCGTAGTGGCGTAAAGGTGAGATGTAGTAGTGGAGTGGTGACATGGGGGCGTGATGGCGTGGAGGCGGTAGACGTGGAGGCAGTAGGCGTGTGGCGTGGTGACAAGGTGGCAGGCTTGTCAATGAAAGCGTGGAGACTTGATAGAATGGAGGCGTGGAGGCATGGAGGTGTGGTGGCTGGTGGCATGTAGGCGTGATGGCTTGGAGGCGTGGTGGCATGGAGGCGTGGTGGTGTGTAGTAGTAGTAATGACGTGGTGGTGCAAAAGCGTGAAGAAGTCAGGGCGTGGTGGCGTGAAGGCGATATGACGTGGTGGATTGGTGACGCAGAGGCGTGGTGGCAACGTTACGTGAAGGTGTGGAGGCTTGACAGAATGGAGGAGTGGTGCCTTCGTGGCATCGTGGAAAGGATTCTTGATGGCATGGAGGAGTGGTGGCATGGAGGCGTGGCGGCGTGGTGGTGTGTAATAGTAGTAGTAGTGGCGTGGTGGCGCAAAGACGTGGAGACGTCATGGCGTGGTGGCGTGAAGGCGATATGACGTGATGGTTTGGTGACGCAGAGGCGTGGTGGCATGGTGACGCGAAGGTGTGGAGGCTTGACAGAATGGAGGCGTGGTGGCATGGTGGAATGAAGTCTTGACGGTATGGGGGCGTGGTGGCATGGAGCGTTGTGGCATTGGGCCTGCGCCTCAGCTCGAGCATAAATTCTCGGCTATCCGGGAGACGCCGCTTCGTTGGCGGGGGTGCCGACGTTTCGCCTGACATGTCGCAGGCTTCCTCAGGGCAATGAGGGTTGGTCACTGCTCTGAGAAAGCCTGCGACATGTCAGGCGAAACGTCGGTCCCCCAGCCAACGACACGGCGTCTCCCGGATAGCCGAGAATTTATCGATTCGAGTCGCGGAAGCTTACGTGTACAGCTCACCTCGAGCAGCTGGTTGTCGTCGAGGCGGAGCACCCGCAGCTGGCCCAGGCGCTCGAAGGCGCGGTCGGCCACGCTCAGCAGGCGGTTGGAGGCCAGGTACAGCTCGGCCAGGTCGGGCGTGTCGACCAGCGCCGCCGCCGGCAGCGCCTCCAGCAGGTTATCGCTCAGGTCGAGCACGCGCAGCGAGCGCAGGCCCCGGAACGCGTCCTTGCTTAGCGTCGACACCTGCGCACACACGCACATACACACATACACACATACACACTCATGCAAACGCTCGTTGTCTCACCATGGCTTTGCAATTGCAAAAATCCAAATGTTAATATTCTTGACTGTCCGGGTGACACCGTGTCTTTCGCTGAGAGGCTGACGTTTCGCTTATCATATTGCACACTTCATCGGGGATATGGACAAACTGCTCACTACCCTGACATGTGCCTGTGACATGACAGGCGAAACGTTGGCCTTTCAACCAACGACGCGGCCTCACCCGAACAGCCATGAAGACACGGACTCGAGCCTCGCATGCTTACGTTCACAATGAAAGTGAAGTGAAATGAAGGTGGCTAGGTGGAATAGCACGAGTGGTCTTAATCTCGCCACAATAAAGACATTTTTGATTGATTGATTTTTTCGGACGCGTCAACTGCTGTTATCATTAGTCCTTTCAGTGTAGTGAATGTTTTGTTGCGGGGGCTGGCAGTGTTCGTCCCCAGATGGTTGGGGAGATCCAACGCCAATCTACAGTCGGCGTGCGCCCCTTCATCCATAGAGGTCTGTCGACATTTATATATTTAGAGGGGAAGTGAGAGCGGAGTCAGGGGAAGTTGCCTGTGCTCGCAGGCGCGCCAGACTTTCCAGGACGCCAATAGTTTGCTCAGGCATGAGGCATGTGGTGAGTTTTCGTTGGGATTTCCAATGAAATAATTATATGCGTCGTCAATGACAATATTATTTTTTAAAAAAAGGAAGTCGGTTTTGTGGCTTCCATACAGCAGAAAACTGATGATGATGGTTAAGCCATCAAAAGCTGCTTTTTTAATAAATAATATTGTTGGTAATTATTTCATTTCTAGGCATCAGGACTGACATATCCGAAGGGGAGAGACTAGGTCAAGGATAAGAAAGGAATGATCGCGCGCGGTCCGTGGCGCATTTGTTAGAGTACTGCTCTGGCATTCGCCTGGCAATGATCGCTGTAATTCCCGATACGAGCGGCCGGAGGATTTGAGGCGAAAGTGGACCGGTACGATTGGACCAGTACAAAGCGGTGGTATTCAGCTAGAGCCGAAAATCCTCCACCCGTCTAGACTCAAAACCTAGGACCTTCTGGTCAGGGTTGCTGCAGAGACAGCGAAAATGTTGGCTTTGAGCTAAAATCAACTACTAAAAAGACATTATTATTATTATTATTATTATTATTATATTTACGAAAAGACACTAAAATTAGAATATTATTATTTATTTATTTAATAGGTAATTATTACAGACAAAATTAGCTTACTTGATCCTATGTGGCTTATGTGGCCTAGCCGAAGGCCCTTAAGCCATTACAATACCCTACATCCTTTCGCGTTTCTAGATCTTTCGAATTCTGGTATTACCCAAATGGTCTCTCCATTCCGCATCAAAGCCGCGGAAAAAGAGACCCATTAGACGGCTCAGGAAAAACCCCTGAAGTCGGGGAAAAACTCTGCCCGTCAGAGAGCCAGTAATCATTGTCTAAATCTATCCGACTTTATTTAAGCTATATTATTTTCTGGCGCGGCGCGTCCGCCTGTCTCCTTCCGTGCTTGGCCTCCTCACACCTTGAAATCAAACAGCGCCAACAGCAAGATCTCCGCACCAACGCTCTGCCCTTTATTTTCGCCTCCCCTTACCTTTCCCCCTAATGTGCTTATACATGCATTTATTTTATTTATTATATTAACTTTTACTACAATAACTATGACTTATGACTTTAATTTCTTAACTTTTACTTACGTTAACATTAAATTACTGATTAACTTACTATGTTCAGCTTAATTGATTATTTTTTCTCCCAGTTCTAGGCTCCGCCAAGCTAACCGGTCTGTTTTCCCACTCCTAATTTCAGTTTCCCTAATGTCGAACCTTTCCTAAAATGTTCCTAATCTTCCATGAATTTAGACCTTTTATCACCTAAATTTTGGTTTGGGGGCGAAGCGTTAGTTCCTGTTAGAAAGTAGTAATTTCCCATTCCCATCCATTTTTTCTCCATGTTTCGGTTGCACAGCAAATTAAGAGTTATGTGATCCAGTCTCCCTATCACCGCAAAGCAAAGGATGCCATTACACTTGCGCTCCTTTTAAGTCTACGCTGCAGCCATCCCCAACCCTGAACCAAGCGATATCCCCTCTTGTCGTCCTTTCCGAGAGTATTGAACGTAACCTTCGACCCCATAACGGACTCGCATGAATTTGAGCTACTAGCGACGTTTTCCAGCCGTTGCTGCCCCGAAAATCTCTTGCTTTTATATCCGCAAGTCTATGGAAATCAGCCGTTCTATTCACGATCCCCTTCTCGCCACCATATCCGGAGAGAGACGTCTCCCACCCTGTGCGGTAAGTTAGCCGTTAACTTTGTACGCCCAGTAGCCTGGTCGCTTCCCTGCCATTGCACTCTAAAGCACCTATGCTATGAGTGTGTTAGCCTGTTCATCTGCGACATTTAATCCAAAGTTAATAGATTTCATTTAAAATCTCTCAAATTCCTAATACTTCCGACCTCTTTTAAGACTCGCATTTGTGCGCATCTAGAAACCTAGAATTAATTTAAATAATCTTTTCGATACTTCTAGTCGATCTATCTATCCATCTCCCAGATTCTGCCCCATAGTTCATAGCTGGGAGACTAACGATTTGAACATTGTATCGCATACTTTTACCGGCAATTCCCGGAACCCTGCGCACTGCCGAAACGATTTCTTTAGCGCAATTCTTCCTTTGCTGTGAGCCGTCAGTATGTGATTATTCCATCCCCCATTCATGGAAAATTTTGCACCAAGAATATGTGAATGTTTTGACGCGGTCAATTTCTTCCCTAGCGTAGTACCATTCTCTTTGCTACCCCAGATAAACCCATTTTTGAAGACTACTACTTTCGTTTTTTGAATGTTTACTTTTAGTCCCCATGTCTCACTATACCGTTCTAGAATATTTAAACTCTTCTGTAAGCCCTCAATCGTCTCCGAACATAAGACTAAATCATCAGCAGTATAGTCAGTCCGGGAATTTTCAAGCCATCAATGGAGCCGGGTCTCCTATCTCTCTGTACCACGTCAATAAATCCGTTTATACACGTATAACAGCAGCGGTGAAAGAGGACACCCTGTCTTACTCCTATTGTCGATTTTATTTTTTGCGTTTAATTCCCGTCACCGCACCTCACGCAGAGAAATTTACTTCCTTATACATACTCTGCAATACGTTTTAAAACTTTACGTGAGACGCCTAGCTCTATTAGTTTCGCCATAAAGCATCCCTATTAATAGAGTCAAAAACCTTTTCGAAATCTACAAAACTGCAATATAAGTGGCTTCGTTTACGCGCCAGCCCTGTTTTACTAGGGTATCTACACAAATATATTGTCGGTTGTCGCGTAGCTAAAGCCTGCTTGCAATTTCTGATATTTTACCGTACTTTCCGCCCATTCACTCAGTCGCCCGTTGAGTATTTTACAAAACAGTTTGCTCAGCGCTGCAAAAGACTAATTCCGCGATAATTTTGTGGGCAATTCGAATCCCTTTATTTTAAAAATCGGTTGAGGATAGCTGTACTCACGTTTC